CACGTGTTTTGTTTTTATATGTGCTCTCAATAAATCAAAGACTTTTTGTCGTATCTTTTATTTTTAGTGGATTTATTAAAAATTCTGTAATCTTCGTCGTTCGTTTTTGAAGTCAAGATCAAAACAATATTCGTTTTTCTTTTATACAATACTATTCTCAACTTCATTACTTAAAACTATCAACTTAAAGAATCAACATTTTCACAACAAAGTATTCAGGTTTTGTTCATTGTAACGTTAATAGTGTTACGGATTTTGTATTTAGTTGGCTATTTTTAGTAGAATTGTAATAATTTTTTTTTTTTTTTTTTTTTTAAGTCCAAAGGGATTTGAATCCCGAAGGACTATTAGTTTCGTTTTGGCATTTTGCGTCGGACTCATAAATGTCGGTTCACTTTTCAAACTGTTGCCACAAAATGTTAGAGTCCTGCATTATATTTGAAGAAATTAAATAATTAAAAATCTGCATAAATGTATGTATATTTCGTATTGTGATAAAACAACGGTACATAGAGTCATCGAATTTTGAATAACGTAATCCTCCAACGAATATGAGCATGTGGAAGACCAAATTTGAAATTTGAAATTTGTTTTATGATCGATTTCCTATTTTTTAAAACTTTGACGAATTTTTGATTAACAAACTCAAGGATTTCAAAGCGAGCAATGGCAACGTTGTGCAGAAAAAACATTTTTATCTCCAGCGCGTGAGTCTCTGTATCGGAAATTCTAAAGATATGCTCGTTTTAAAACTATTTTGCGATATTGCTGTTGCACTGGATCTTATGGTTTAAGTGCGAGGAACATGATATTTAATAAAGAAAGGTAACACAAAAAATGTTAAAAAACGCCCCTTTGGACGTAATTTAAAATCTGAAACATTTCAGATTTTGTTTAATTTCCTTTATTTATTTTATTTTCCCGTGCAATGCAGCGCGTGATGAGTTTTAAGAGAAAGCTACGCCGAAAAAGTAAAAATACAGAAGCACGCGCATTTAATATTTGATAAATAGATATCTAGTAATTCTACTCTTTTGATTTCCAGAAACTTTGAGAAAATGGAAATTACCAGAAACTTCTCGTGCACATTTAGAAAGCTGTAGAAGCTGGAGAGAAACATATCAGTTCAGTTGTTTAGATAACTGTTGTTTGTTGATTGTAGCAAATTCGCGATGAGATCAAATTAGCTTTCTCTGAGCTGTGGATTACGTTCTTTTTAACGTTTTAGTAGTTTAAAATAGAGCTACTGATTATATTGCGTGATATTGTGATTTTGTAAGAATATCCTTGAGGAGAAATCTAGCGTTTTGTTATATTTCTTGTGATAAGAATAAATTTTATTAACTTTTTATAGAACTTGTACATTCAATCTATTACGAACCCGTACGCACGCAACAATATTATATTAGAAAACATGTAAATGTCACATGAATAAGAAACAGAAAACATGTAAAGTGCTTGTAAAACTTATAGCAGATTTTAAACTTACAAGTTTTGTCAACGCACCGAGAAGGGAATTTAAAAGATATGTATGAGTTATACTAGTATATATGCTATTTACCGAATTACCAGTAAAATGACAGTAATTTACCATTAAAAATTAAGTAAAAGTTTGTTATTTACTGTTAAGAAAGTTTACCGGCATCAGAATCCCTAACAGTAGAAGACAGAATCCGATTGCTTTGAATATAACATAAGTATTCACAAGAGTTCGGGAACTGATTAAACATGGAAGGGACACCATTTACATCTCTCTACATCTCTTGGTTACCGAATTACCAGTAAAATGACAGTAATTTACCATTAAAATTAAGTAAAAGTTTGTTATTTACTGTTAAGAAAGTTTACCGGCATCAGAATCCCTAACAGTAGAAGACAGAATCCGATTGCTTTGAATATAACATAAGTATTCAAGAGTTCGGAACTGATTAAACATGGAAGGGACACCATTTACACTCTCTCTACATCTCTTGGTTACCGAATTACCAGTAAAATGACAATAATTTACCATTAAAAATTAAGTAAAGTTTGTTATTTACTGTTAAGAAAGTTACCGGCATCAAATCCCTAACAGTAAGAAGACAGAATCCGATTGCTTTGAATATAACATAAGTATTCACAAGAGTTCGGGAACTGATTAAACATGGAAGGGACAAAACCATTTACATCTCTCTACATCTCTTGGTACCGAATTACCAGTAAAATGACAATATTTACCATTAAAAATTAAGTAAAGTTTGTTATTTACTGTTAAGAAAGTTTACCGGCATCAGAATCCCTAACAGTAGAAGACAGATCCGATTGCTTTGAATATAACATAAGTATTCACAAGAGTTCGGGAACTGATTAAACATGGAAGGGACAACCATTTACATCTCTCTACCATCTCTTGGTTACCGATTACCAGTAAAATGACAATAATTTACCATTAAAAATTAAGTAAAAGTTTGTTATTTACTGTTAAGAAAGTTTACCGGCATCAGAATCCCTAACAGTAGAAGACAGAAGAATCCGATTGCTTTTGAATATAAACATAAGTATCACAAGAGTTCGGGAACTGATTAAACTGGAAGGGACACCATTTAACATCTCTACATCTCTTGGTTACCGAATTACCAGTAAAATACAATAATTTACCATTAAAATTAAGTAAAAGTTTGTTATTTACTGTTAAGAAAGTTTACCGGCATCAGAATCCCTAACAGTAGAAGACAGAATCCGATTGCTTTGAATATAACATAAGATTCACAAGAGTTCGGAACTGATTAAACATGGAAGGGACACCATTTACATCTCTCTACATCTCTTGGTTACCGAATTACCAGTAAAATGACAATAATTTACCATTAAAAATTAAGTAAAAGTTGTTATTTACTGTTAAGAAAGTTTACCGGCATCAGAATCCCTAACAGTAGAAGACAGAATCCGATTGCTTTGAATATAACATAAGTATTCACAAGAGTTCGGGAACTGATTAAACATGGAAGGGACACCATTTACATCTCTCTACATCTCTTGGTTACCGAATTACCAGTAAAATGACAATAATTTACCATTAAAAATTAAGTAAAAGTTGTTATTTACTGTTAAGAAAGTTTACCGGCATCAGAATCCCTAACAGTAGAAGACAGAATCCGATTGCTTTGAATATAACATAAGTATTCACAAGAGTTCGGGAACTGATTAAACATGGAAGGGACACCATTTACATCTCTCTACATCTCTTGGTTACCGAATTACCAGTAAAATGACAATAATTTACCATTAAAAAATTAAGTAAAAGTTTGTTATTTACTGTTAAGAAAGTTTACCGGCATCAGAATCCCTAACAGTAGAAGACAGAATCCGATTGCTTTGAATATAACATAAGTATTCACAAGAGTTCGGGAACTGATTAAACATGGAAGGGACACCATTTACATCTCTCTACATCTCTTGGTTACCGAATTACCAGTAAAATGACAATAATTTACCATTAAAAATTAAGTAAAAGTTTGTTATTTACTGTTAAGAAAGTTTACCGGCATCAGAATCCCTAACAGTAGAAGACAGAATCCGATTGCTTTGAATATAACATAAGTATTCACAAGAGTTCGGGAACTGATTAAACATGGAAGGGACACCATTTACATCTCTCTACATCTCTTGGTTACCGAATTACCAGTAAAATGACAATAATTTACCATTAAAAATTAAGTAAAAGTTTGTTATTTACTGTTAAGAAAGTTTACCGGCATCAGAATCCCTAACAGTAGAAGACAGAATCGATTGCTTGAATATAAACATAAGTATTCACAAGAGTTCGGGAACTGATTAAACATGGAAGGGCACCATTTACATCTCTCTACATCTCTTGGTTACCGAATTACCAGTAAAATGACAATAATTTACCATTAAAAATAAGTAAAAGTTGTTTATTTACTGTTAAGAAGAAGTTTACCGGCCATCAGAATCCCTAACAGTAGAAGACAGAATCCGATTGCTTTGAATATAACATAAGTATTCACAAGAGTTCGGGAACTGATTAAACATGGAAGGGACCCATTTAAATCTCTTGGTTACCGAATTACCAGTAAAATGACTACCATTAAAAATTAGTAAAAGTTGTTATTTAGGAGAGATTTGAACAAAATTTAGTATAGAGAGAGAGAGACAAAAAGTAAGAAATTTAGAACAAAAAAAAAAAAAAAAAAAAAAAAAAAAAAAAAAAAAAAAAAAAAAAAAAAAAAAAAACAATTTCACAAAGATCCAAAAGAAGAGAAATTCAAAACAAAATTCCTTATAAATATGTAAAATTTACCAAAATCAGAATAATTAAAGAAATGTGAAATACTAAAACCTCAAAAATACAAAAACTACAGAAAATAAATACAAATACAAACAAAGGAATGCAATCAAATCTGATATAACGTTATCAAGAGGAGTTACATCAGACTCATTTGAACTCTCTTCCAACTGAAACACGCTGCGTTTTTATTATCCAAAATTAGCTGATAAATCATTCTATATTTAATTATAACAGCTCACCCGAAAATTTTCAATTCCTCCCCGAAGCAGTGTAAGAATTCCAATTTCAAATCAAGCAAAAGAATTTAATTAGACACTTTTTAACAGTCGATTGGAATAGCTTTACGTATTCCTAACTTTTCTCATATTTAATTCCTTACGTACAGAATTCTAAAATGAGAGCACGAAATGAAAGGAAAAAGAAAGAGCAGAATAAAACAAAGGCAAAATTATTATTATATTTGAGAAAACTTTAGTAAATCCTAGATCATGAAAGTCAGTGGGAAATTATTGCTCAATCTATTAGCTCCTTGAAAGAGAATAATAACGCTATTTTCTACTTCTTTGTGCGAAATTAAAACCGTTTTAAAGGGTAACTCAGATGCGAAAATTTTTCACGTTTAATAAATACCTTTGTCTTTTAGTTTATTTATAGAAAAATGTGCTACGCACGATTCAGTTTAGAAAGATTAAACTATCTTCTATCGTTTCAGAAGCGAAAAGGTATCGCGAAGACACATCTATTCGTCCATTTAAGATTCAAGTCACAAATGATGTGTTGAAAGATCTAAAGATGAGATTAGAGCGTACTCGATTCGAAGATCCTCTGGAAGATTCCTTGTTTCTAGATGGTTTTAATCCCAACTATCTCCGTGAAGTAGTAGAATACTGGAAAAGCAAATACAATTGGGAGAAAGAAGAAAAGGAGTTGAACAAATTTCCCCACTTCAAGACACGCATCGAAGGACTTGACATCCATTTTATGCACGTGAAACCCACTATAGAAGAAGGAAAGAAGGTAAGTTCATGTTTGGGAATTGATCTGTAATGATGCGTTTGCAATATAGCCACATAGTCTCTCCACCATGAAGTATTACATCATTATGTGGGTACATATAGTAAAAGCTTCGACTATTAAAACAAGGACGCAATCACGCAAAGCTGAATCCAATGAGCGTTTCTTTCCCAGAACGTCTATATACTTCTGGAATGAAACTTTGTTTTATTGTATATTTGATATATTTTCGATACGAGTACTGTTTATTACAATAGAATACTTTTTGATTTCACAAAAATCATTAAAAGCAGCGAAACAGCTTATTTACTGTAAGTAATTAAATTCCTATCCGTTATCTACTAGTGATGATTTAAAGGAGAAATTTTTAGGACTTTTTATGTCACAGATTTTACGCTTCAATTCGCTTCACAATGCTCGTATTTGCCTATCCATGCGTTGCTACTTAAGCAGCTAATGATGGTTGTGCTAGAGGGTGAATGCACTTTCATCTGTCAGAGGTGTTCAGCCGTAGATCGTGAAAATGTTATTCACTGCATAGTCTTTGCCGCATGTGAGAGAAATGTGACTTTTATGATGTTAGCAATTTTTCTTAAAGATTGAAATATTTTATTTTCTATGAAGAAAAATATAATGAAGTTCAGATAATATTAACAATGTTTAAACAAAATATGCTGAAATTAGTTATATTTTGAACTTTGCAATAAAAATATTTCCTTCAATAAAATTTATTTAAAGGGAAAAAAAGAGAAGAAAAATTTGAAAGATTTCAGATTTTAACCGTGGCCCAAAAGAGTTTGTTAAGGTTTTTTGCGCTCTCACTGAGTTCGCAGTCTACTAGTCTGTTATTGCATTCATTTCTGCTAACCTTTTTTTTTTTTTCCCAGTCCAAAGGGGCAATTTGCCCAGAAGGGCTATTAATTTCGTTTTGGCCTTTTGCGTCGTAAACTATAAAACGGCGTTTCACTTTTCAAATTCTTGTCACCAAATGTTAGAGCCCTACATTAAAGAAAATAAATAATGAAGAATCTGCATGAACATATGTATGTTGTGACAAAGCAGCGGTACTTATATATATATATATATCAAATTTTGAATAATGTACTCCTCCACTCGAATATGGGTATCTGGAAGCCCAAATTTGGAATTTATCTTATTATCTATTTCATATTTTGTAAAACTTTAACGAAATTTTGATTTACAAACTCAACGATTTCAAAGCGAGCAATGGCAATACTATACAGGGGGAAAAAACATTTTTGTCTCCATCGTGGGAGCCTGTATATGGGAAATTCTAAAGATATGCTCTTTTTAAATATTTTGTGATATTACTGTTGAATTGAATTTTATGCTTTAAGCGCGAAGAATACCGCGAAGAATTTGTCAATTAAAACGGAAAGATAAATATATTACATTTTCGAATAGAAATTGTCTCGCGCGCTGGAGATAAAAATGTTTTAATTCTGACAGTTTTGCCACTGCTTGCTTTCAGATCGTTGAGTTTTTCGATCAAAAATTGATTAAAGTTTTACAAAGTATGAAATAAATAATAAAACAAATTCGAAATTCAGGCTTTCAGGCGTACATGGTCGGGTGTAGGACTTTGTTACTCAAATATCTGGTGCTTTAGATACCGTCGTTTTTTTTTTTTTTTTTACAATGCCAGGAAACATACATACATACATTTAGATTCTTCATTGTTTTAGAGGAATCTAAAAATAAATACTAATCTGAAAGAAAGTGTATACGCAGATTTTACGTATTAATATTATTATTTTATATATTATTATAGATTTTATATTATTGTAACTTAATATATTGGTGTTACACATATGGATATTTTTCTTCTTTAATACAATGTCTGTTAGTGTGTAGAGACATTAGGTATTTTTAAAGCATGAAAGATGAAAAAGGAGCATTGTCTTCGCCGGGAATCGAACCACGGACCTCTGAAATACGCGCCCAGCATGCAGACCACTACACCACGAAGGCACGCTAAGAAGGCGGAAGAAATACCTTATATTCTCCCTCTTTTAAAGAGCGACTGGGATTTTAGGGGATCCAATCACCAAATCCTGAGTGTGGAGAATCATCATCCACCACCCTTTTAGTTCAGGCGCCACTGTAGAGACATTAGGTATTTTTAAAGTATGAAAGATGAAGAATGAGCAATGCCTTCGCCGAGAATCGAACCACGGACCTCTGGAGTACGCGCCCAGCATGCAGACCATTACACCACGAAGGCACGCTAAGCATGCGGGAGAAATACTTTATAAGTGTTTAGCACTCGTCTGAGTTTTGAATTAGTTAATTCAGGAAGTATTCAAATTATATGAGTATAATAAGTTTCTAACAATTACATTATAAGCTACAATATAAGAAAAACAAATTAAAGTTGTAGATTTATTTAATAGCTGCGAAATCCTTTTAAATTCGCGAAAATAATCTCGAACATTCGCTTAGCGACAAAGATCAGAACTAATGTTCATTTGTAAAATGAAAGTTGTGAGGAAAATGGCAAATTAACGATTCTTCACTTATCCAAAAGGAAGATGTGCAACGATTACGCTTGCGATAGAAAAAAAAAAAAAAAAAAAGGAGTAATTTACTTTTATTTTGTGATCTCCTCTTATTATCTTTTTTCCTTTGTTTTCATGACCTTTTACTTTCATGACTAAAGCACTAAAATTTTGTTCTAAGGTAAAAATGTATAATAACGTTTCAAGTTTTGTATAATGTTACAAAACTAAAAGTATTATATCCATAGTTTACTTTAAAGAAGTTCAGTTTCGCGAAATGCTTAGTTTATTTTCCTTTGCGACACTAACAATTTCTTCAAATTAAAAAATCGAAATTTTAAAAACAGTTTCTTTGTTGCTTTATTGACAACTTAATTTAAATCTTTGCATTCTGAAATCACTTATTGAGTGAAAAATAAGTTTTCTTAAGATTCTGAATCACCATTTGCGTGACAACACTCATTTTCTCTAACTCTTGAGCCACTATTTGACTAATGTGTATATAAGCAAACCAAAAAAACTGTTGACAGTACTTTTTTCTTATGTAAGAAACTACAATGAAATAATATTGTAATCTATAAAACTAAAGATAAATGACTCTGACAATTTAAAACAGTCATTCTCAATCCTTGTTGTTTTTCCACCTTTCTGATGATGCTTCAAGATGCGATTATATCCCCTCCCACTTTTTATATTTAATAAATATTAATTATAGAAACATTTAGGTTACATGATAGCTTTTCGTTTCACCAATTTGAGGTTGAAATGCTCACCCTAAAAATGAGCAATTTCCCGCAGCCCCAGCTTGGACGCAGCCCCAGCTGTAACCAACTCCATACGGTTACAGCCGAAAACATCGCGGACGAAAACGTCGCGGAGAAAACAACGCAAGGCGAAAACGTCCTGCTACAAAACATCGTGGGAGAAAACATCGCAGTTCTAAAACATCGTGGTTCAAAACATCGTCGTTCAAAAACTTCGCAGTTTAAAAACATCGTCGTCGAAAATATCGGGGTAAAAAATAAAATATCTACAAATCATCGCAGACATGCTTTTTTTCAGGCTTTAATAACTGTAAATGAATATTCCCATAATGATTTGTGAGCGCAAGATGTAAAGAAGGATAATTTTTACTTTCACATTCTTTTATTAACTAAATTTTTGCTGAAAAAGTAAGAAGGAAACTTAAGCATAGAAAATTAAATGCAACTTAATAGATTATACTTTTTATGAAAAATTACCTGTAAAAACCCTTATAAAAATGATTTATTAATGATCTTTGTTAGTTAACTAGTTGGGTTAAAATTCTATTAAGTGCTATAAGTTACATTAATTTTCTATGCTTAAGTTTCGTTCTTATTTTCTCAGCAAAAATTTATTAGTTAATAAAAATATGAAAGTAAAAATTATCTTGCGCTCACAAATCATTATGGAATATCCATTTACAGTTATTAAAGGCTGAAAAAAGCATGTCTGCGATGTTATCATCATGCGATGATTTGTAGATACTTTATTTTTTACCACGATATTTTCGACGACGATGTTTTTAAACTGCGAAGTTTTTGAACCGCTTTATTTTCAACGACGATGTTTTGTACCATGATGTTTTAGAACTGTGATGTTTTCTCCCACGATGTTTTGTAGCACGACGTTTTTGCCTTGCGTTGTTTTCTCCGCGACGTTTTCGTCCGCGATGTTTTTTCCGAGATGTTATCGGCGGACACCCTCCATACAGCCTGATGACCCCTGGTTTAAAAGACAGTGAAGAAGAATTTCATGGAACTGAATTGCGTATAAAGGAATTATATAATCAAAAACTAGATCCTAAAATAAAATACAAAAGTTCAAAATATTCAATTTTCATTCTAGCGGGTTGTATTTTTTTAGCTGGACGTCATTCCTCTTCTTCTTATCCATGGTTGGCCTGGATCTTTTACGGAGTTTTACAAGATTGTTCCTATGTTGACGACCCCAAGAGCGGATTGCAATTATGTTTTCGAAGTTGTATGTCCTTCGATCCCTGGATTTGGCTTCTCTGAATCACCGACCAAGAAAGGTATTTGTCATTTATCTTTTTCATTATTGAACTTTATCTCGTTTAAAAATATAAAGAGAAATCGAAAATTCTTACTTAATTATTTCGTGGTATACTATTGCCAAATATTGCAGCAAGTTTCCAAGATCCTGCTAACCTTTTTACGATGTCTCTAGATATTATTTTGCTTTCAATTGGAAACTTTTGACCGAGGATACAGAAGGTAAGGGAGGAAAGAACCTAGATGTTTCTTTTTTCAGTGCTGTGCTTTATGTGGGAAATGTTCCGCATGACCCAGGCAGTAGATAAAAATGTAACATTGCGGGGAAAAAATGGGACAGTTCTATATCTCTCGTTCCACTAGGCCGATTGACAAAATTCATATTGCGTTTTTCATGTCTCGATAGCGCGACATAGAATATATATTAGATTTATATATAGAATTGTTCTGACTTGGGTATTTTGACACAAAATCGGACTTTTTCTGAAATAACATACCTCTTTTTTTCATATTCGATTCTACAACTCAGGTTATGCGTAAATATTGAATTTTGTAAAATTTGGTGCGAAATTTATGGAGAAATTCACAAATTTATGTTTGCGTCTTTTTTTTCAGTTTGCACCAAGAATAATTCACTTCTAGAATTTAATATATGGCCACCGATTTTCCTTTCTCTTCCATTATACCGGAGCAGAAAAAAGGCTCCTCGTTCCTACTTTTTTACATTGTGCATAAGCGTAAAAAAAAGTGACTTTCCTACTTTCAAATAATTTTAGCAAAGTGTCTATGCCACATTTTATGTTTTATCGCTTTCAACAAATATGCCAAGTTTCAAAACGCACCAATATATAAATTTACGTGTATCTTCGGAAATTTTGAATAAAAAACTCTAATTTTTTGCAGGTGGGCTTAGAAATACGTCTACTTTAAGATGATGGTAAATATTTTATAGATTACAATTCAATTTGTTTTTGAAAAATTTATAAAAGTTATTTAAAAATACAAATTTTAAAAATAAACCATAAAAAATGGGTGAATGTTATTTGGAATGAACCTGAATTTCGAAATGTGAAAAGAAGAATCAAATAAGTTTAATAAAAAAAGAAGAGATTAATGAATATATACCAAACTCAATTAACATCGAGGAGCTAAAATTTTGAGAGCTCATTTTTTAAAAACTACCCGTGCGATTTTTTACAAAACTTGATAGTTTGACGTCATTTGAGTAGTAGAATCGAAATATGCAAAAACAAATGGTATGCTATTTCAGAAAAAGTCCGATTTTGTGTCAAAATACCTACATTAGAGCAATGCTACATATAAATCAAATACATATCCTAAGTCGCGCTTTCGAGACATGAAAAACGCAAGTTGAATTTCGGCAATCGGCTCAGTAGAACGGGAGATATAGAACTGTCCTATCCCCCCCCCTTCGCGTAGTGTAGTATACCAATATCCTAATGGAAGTAGCGATTTTTTTTAGATAGAAGCTACATTGTCACACAAGAAGCAGCTAAAGGTCTTTTGATTTTCCTTTTATGACGCCTTTAGTTATCTACTTTTTGCAATGGTGCGGAGTTTAAAGTTATATATTTTCAAAATAAGAAAATACATTTCTGATATACAGCAATAAATACAACTCAACCTGTTTAGGCAAGTCAGTGTCTTGAGTTCTCAAAACAAGCCTCAATCTTCAATACAGTATCTTAGAGAAGTCATTCTGTTACATGACAACAGAGATTAATGCCTTTCCACATTAAATTCAGCTACCATTTTCCAGGAACGTGATGCTATGTAGAATGCCCTACGTAATATTCACAACCTCATGATGAATTTTATCTTTAAAACTGTTAATGTTAGGTAAGTTGTGAGAGAAAACTTAAGCTTAATACATCAAGAGCACACAGTGTTTCCAAGCAATTGTCATTTATCATAGCTACTTCCTTAAATAATTTAAAACACACTTTGCTTTTGTAACAAGCAACTTCAAACCCATTGCAGTCCTGTGAGCTTTAGGGCAGTAAATTCTGTAAAACCATTATGCAGAAAAACATAACTAGGCTAAACAAATTTTATTTCTTTGCAATAATTATTATGCAAAATTTACAATTTATTGTAGAACGACAAGAATATCGTATTCGTTCAATCTAAAAATAATTCATTTTCATGCGTATTTTCGTTGCGATTTCTGAAATTAGGTCTGATAGCTAGTTGAAATTGCAGATGGATAGTGATTAATACTCATTATGTGTGTAGGGGGTATGGAAGCGTACTAACGCTCATTATACATAAAATTCTTTGTAATATCATAATGCATTGTTCCAAATGATTTTAGTTTTTTTTGGGGAGAGTGGTGGTCTTAGTGAACTGATAATTAATATTCATGTTCCAGAAATGATTATCAATGAGAAGTGTTCGCCATGGAAGAATGCATTGTAGTTCTTCAAATTATTTTATTCTTGTAGGGCAGCATTTTGAAGCAATTTTAAATTTCCTGAATGAATGAGAATTGTGGGTGTTTGAACCCACAATTCGCATATCATAGTCCCACTTTTTAATCGTATTTGCTATTAATTGACATTCTGTGAGGTTTGTTAATAAACAAAGCATTATTACATTTAATTTAAGATAACAGAAGATACAGGAAGCAGAAACACAAGAGAAATTTAACAGGGTTTTTAATGTGTACTGCCTATCCATTTCTTTAAGTTTAACACCTAAAATATTGTCAGATATAGGAAAAACTTTAGATTACCATACTGTTTGCTTTAAAGAGATATAAATTGTTAACCCACTCAAAATGCATTAGTTAGTAAAGGTGAAGTTGGTTTTTTAGTAAATAGAAACTTCTCAAATTTTTATACGCCGTAAATTGCTGCTTCTAAAAGTTCTTGAGCATAAGTGCTTCAGCAAAGATTTTAAAATTTAATTTCAGGGTATTTTAACAGCTTTAATGTAATTTACATGCTACACAAAATATATCACAATGCATCATTAGAATTTAACTAGATACCATTTAAGACACAATAACACGCCGAATAAATACTAATTCAGAAGTCAAACAACAAAAATCAGTGTTATTTACAAAATTTTCACAGGACTAGTTTCGATGGTTTTACGGAACCACCATTCTCAGCTGCAAAACCGCAAATGAACAAGATAGGAAATAATGACTAGATAAGATAAGAAATACTTACTAACAACTTAGTCATCTTAAAATTTTGTAAATAACGCTGATTTTTGTTGTTTGACTTCTGATTTAGTAGATACCATTTGTTAAATATTAAATCTGTGTAGCAATACCATGTGACAGATTATCTCAACGATAATCATTTTTTACCCCTAAGGCTGCTATCACACCTCCATTTGTTTCTTACTAACAACTGCTTCAAACAATATTTGTGAGTGCTTTACCACTGAATGAAAAACCCAAGACTTTTTTCCTTTCTTTAACAAAATTTCAACAAGCAATCAGCTATCAGCATCGAGTCGCCCATCATCAACCATCATTTGTAAACAGGAGAACTATGCTCAAAGTGATCCTTGATGACTGGCTATTTTATGTCATATGATAAAGCAGGAAAATCATACTAAACAGATATTCTTCCGAAATGTTTTGAATGTGTGATACGATCTAAACAGGTACTTTTTTATTTAGGTTTCAATGGAAGAGCAGCTGCCAGGGTGTTCCTGACCTTGATGGAGCGTTTAGGGCACCCTAAATTCTATGTTCAGGGCGGAGACTGGGGATCATACATCGCGTCTCTCATGGCGAGGTACTATCCACCCAGGTAAATCCTGTAATTTTACTGGTTTTTACTTATTGTTCAATAATTCGGTTTGTATTCTTCCTTGTACTGTCTGGCGTAATTAATATTTCAAATAAATTATAAAAAATATTAATTGAAGAAAAAAGGGGTAGCATGGCTGAAATGGCATAGAATGTAGTAGTTGTTTCAAATATCATTAATTTACCACTACAATAACTCTATAACTTATTTAATTTTCATTAATATTTACAACCTTTTATAAACCTTTTATTAACCTTTTTTCCCTCGCGGCAAAATTTGGCCGAGGTATTTAATTTTAAAATTTGAGACTTTTGTTATCTGTTTCTGTTTTCCTTGAGAAGAAGATTAATAAATTAGAATAGCTGAATGATATTTTTCCTTTAATTGCCATTCAGCGATATTCTTTTATTAGTTATTAGTATTCTTTAATTTATACTATTATTACAATTAGTACGTCGAAATAATTTCTCACTAAAGTAGTTTATAAGCTTTCAAAGGCTAAAAATGTGTCATTAAAAATCTCATGCAGTTTTATTACTTTGGAATCCTTCATCTAATAATTAATCTTTTATTTATGCTTTTAATTTAACACTTTTAATTTATGCAAATAATGTTATTTAACATTTTTTATATATGCAAATAATGTTACGAATCGGTTATTGAAGTGTTCCACTGTTTACTAAAACGCTGTCAGATTCTACGAATGAGATCCTTTGGAAAAAAATTAATATTCATGATTACATTTCAGGACACTTTGCGTAGCAATGTTCAGCACTTATCCATCAAACATCAGGTGTAATTTTCTAAGCTTATATATCCTTTTCAGATACGAGTCCACCAGCGGCCGAGCGGTAAAGTCGATGAACACTGGTAGTTTGACCTGGATTCGATCCCAGGTGAACGTATCGTAACCTATTTACTCTTAAAAATGGGCGCTTTCGTTATTTTACCCATGTGCAATAACGAACTGTGTGGGGGCTACGCATGTATACGAGCCAGTTTCTCTCAGAAAGTCCTCCACGAAGGAATTCCTCCTGGTAGGTGTGGAACTGTGTGGGGGCTACGCAAAATGCCCTCGAGTTCCTCCCCATAATCAAATAAAACAAACCAAACCTTTTTACTTACGTGAAAAAAAGGTAAATATTTAGCATTTTAATTGTTATGAACACCGTATGAAGCTTTAAAATTAAATGTGTCGGTAATGTTTCTTTTACGATGTCTAATGTAGAAGAAATATAACATTTTACTAAATGCCATTGGTTTGGAGAACCGCATATAAAAAACTTGATTTCTTTTAGAAAAAAGAAATTTTAAAATTTAAAAATGCCTAAACAGGAAGTTTTGCGTTATTTAAAACATTTCTATGATTGGAAGTATATATCTATGACCAGTGATTATTAAAATTAAGGCTACATGAGAGCTTTATAAACACGGTAAAATAAAAGAAATTGTGAATTATGAGTCCAAACGTAGAAACCACCCGATATCTGTAATGCAGGCATATCCGAAGCTTTCTGTGTAAGAAACTGTAGTTTTAAACTTTATATTAAGTATGTATATATTTCTAATTGGATTTTTTGTTTCTTGCTAGGATACTGGGCTTACACGTCAACTGCTATTTCTTCTTTCCCGGGACTTGGGACAGTATAAAGGCGATACTGATTTCCATTTTCCCTTTCCTTGTAAGTGCTCCGGAGTATAAGACAGTATTTCCTCTTAGGAAGAAGCTAAAAGTATTGTATGAAGAAACTGGATACTTCCACATGCACAGTACCAAGCCAAATACTTTAGGTAAAGCAACTTTTTAAGTTTGCTCTGCAAAATAGATGCACAACAGATTTAGTAGTTTTGCTAAATTTATATTCGGTATTTAACATGAACCCCACTTGTTGTTGCTTGAAATTAGTGCAAAAAGATCAACAGATTTCATTATTTTATGAGCTGAATTGGGTTATTTCAATTACAGACAACAAACGAGTGCTATTTACCAATTTTTCAAACTACTTTTGATCCGTTGAATAATATTCAAGTGTCATATACCCCTCATATATTATTACCAATTTTTCAAAAAATGCTTCAATTATTTCGTAAATCTGAGTTCTTTTTAAGTTATGTTCAACTTTTTTATATTCAATTCGATTTTGTATCAGCTTAAACATAATATGCTAACGAACCTCTCTAACATTTTATAAACTTAAGTTGTCTAACTACTTGATTAAAATACTTTTACCTAATTGCTGAAATTTAAAGGACACTTCTACGTGTTGGTAAATTATCGCCTATCCTTAATGTTTATTGTGGACGCAAAATAGAATTCGAAATGCTACGATTAGCATAAACCCTTATTCCTCACAACTTGTAAGTTTAAAACATAAAACTAATACGAAACAAGTAGTTCAGCTTTTTGTAAACAGCTACTTGCTAGAACTGTGTGGTGGATTACAACTCCAGAAACACTACACAAAGTTGAAACGCTAAATGGGTTGGACAAAAAAAAAAAAAAAAAAAAAATTTAATGCTTGCCAACCGTGATGATGTTAGCGTTCACTTCTGCTAAGATTAGCAGCTTTCTGAAAAAGCAGGAGCATCCAGCGGCCAAACATTTACTCATAATTATATTGATTTCCCTCACTTTCCTAGCGTGCCTTCGTTGTGGAGTGGTTCTGCACGCTGGGCCAGTATTCCAGAGGTCCATGGTTCGATTTCCGGTGAAGATGATTGCTCATTTTTCAATCATCTTGCCTGCTTCCAAAAAAAAAAAAAAAAAAAAAAAAAAAAAAAAAAATCCTAATGTCTCTAAAAGGTATTCTTCTATTTCGCTTTATCATGAAATCTGCTTAATCCGAAATAAGCAAGTGCGTTACAAAGCAATTCATAAAGTAAAGAATCAACATAAAGCTAACTGTTAGGAAAACTTAAAATCAAATGTTACACTGTAAGCGTGTGTTCCATAAATATGTGCGAAATTGCTCTTTAAGGAGCCGTTTCAGACATAGCCAAAAATTTTCAAAAAATTGTGATTTGAGATTTTTTTTATTTTCAAATTCTCAACACTTTTAGCTTTCTAAAAATATCATACTTTAATCTCTATGAAAATTAGAACTGTAAAAAATCTAGTTTTAATTTATCGTCCAAAGCTTTGATAAATGAGGTTTTTACATAAGAGTGCGTTTTTCTCTATATGTAATTTTTTTATGCTCATGTACCTTTTCTCAGGAACTACTACTCACAGGTATGTAAATTTGTTATGGCTTATTTATTATGTTTCTTAATATTTACTGAAATGAGCGTTTCGTGATAAACTAAGGAAAAGAATTTTCACTTTTTTTTTTTTTTTTAATTTTGAGAAAAGTGCTAAATTTTAGTATGCCTAGTACAATATTCTATGAATTACTCTAAAACTCGAAATGTTTCAAAAGCTCCTTTCAGTATAATCAGATAGGTGTACGTTAATTGCACAAAAAAACTTCAAATGTGTATCTGTAGTAGATTTTGAGAAAAGGTACATCGAAAATGGCTAATTTAACGTTGTCGGTATAGGAGATCCCAATTCCCTTAATGTTATAAATTTGTTAAATATTTTATATACATTGTATTACAGATGTACTTCGTTTTAAATGAACATTTTTGAAAATAATTTGAAATAGCTCTAATTTGGGGAAGTCATTCCGCGCCGTTTTGTGACTCTGATTGCTTCTTTTAAGCCCATCTCAGTAATTCCTGCAAAATATCAACTACTGAAATATTCGACGAAATATTAGTTCATTTTACAACAAGTTAGATGATCCGTCTCGTGATTTTTTCCCTTCTAGAAAGCAATGTTTTTATTAATTATCCTCATTTAATTACGTAGACAGTGAATTCTTGCAATGTTCCAAAATTTTTCTTAACGTTGATATTAAAACAACAGATAACTCCAATCTGAAACAAGATTTGCACGTCTTTTTGCACCTTAAATAGAAAACTAAAAAGGATTAACCTTGAGAAGAAAGTCTTCTCTAATAGTCAGTCGCCTGTGAAAGTAATTTTGTCTGAAAGAAACAATCTATACCGTTAAAATATCTGAGCGTCTAATGCATCTGTTTGTTTGTTTCTGACATCATCTCCTCCGGAACGGCGGGAAGTTGAGTTTCGAGAGAGGTACTCCCAGATTTCAAAAATTCTTGGGTAGCCACTTTGTCCATTCTCATCTTGTAGGACTTTAATCAGCCGAGATATTAATTAAAAAATCTGAAAACTTTAATTTTCGAACTCATTTTTTCGAATGGCAACAGTCATGCTCGCTGGAGATAAAAATAAAGGTCATATTCTGACGTTGAAGAAAGCACGTGATTGCATGTGACGTCAATGTATGTCAAAAGTTTTATCTGCAAAAGGATTGACGCCTTCGTCGAGGAAATTTTACCAAAATACTGTATTGTATCTATACACTATCAAGAGATAACCTTTTTTTTTTTTTTTTTTTTTTTTTTTTTGTGTGGTGTGTTTTGTTTTGTTTGTTTGTTTAGAAATAGGGCTTTAGTTATTAAAGTATAGCCAGTTTGAAAGATTCGTAGAAACTAATGATTTTCTGAATTCTCAATGAGCACAGCCCACACTGGCCACAGCATAAAAGAATGCTGATATCGCTGAGTATGGTTAGCTCCCAAGGTCTTTTGAGAACAGTTTTGCATCTGAGTTTTTGTTCTGCCTCCCCTTGCCGATAGATATAATTTTGTTGTGCTGATCTTGGAATTTGTAATTGTTGCTCTTGATCTTCTTCATCATCCTATGAGTAACATTTATTTCCAACTTCAGAGCATTTAAAAAAGTGGGACAATTTTTAAGATGTGATGCAACACACCGAAAAAACATTTTAAAGTTGTAAAATGGAAGGCAAAAATGAAAAGTATGGCGTTAGAGTGTGCTTGTTTGACGACAAGTGGCAGTTCGATTAGCATAAATGCTCCGTAACTTCAGCTTCTGAGACGACGGAACAATACACGGATGGAAAAAAAAAAGTTATTCACATCCCCAATCGGCTGGGCAATGTTCTTGTATTCTTGAAAGCTCTGTATACTTGGCAATGTTACTGTATTCTTGGAAGCTTCAGTATACTATATACTTGGAAACCCATGCTGGAGGATGTTCCATCACGATGAAATACCTGCATAGTTTCAGCAAGCCTTAAGTAATTATTTGGATATCACCTTTCAGGGACATGCATTAGACGAGGTGGTCTTTTGCTTAGGTTCCTGTGATTGTTTAATCTGCAGTATCTGTATTTATTCTTGTGAGGACATCTCAAGTACCTGTTCAATGACAATTAGCTTGGAACTGATGATTAACTCTTCGTTATAACTTTAATCACTGCTACAATAATGTGCAATATGTCGAGCGTGTTTGAGTGTAAAGTATGTGGTCCGCTAGCCCCTTCATCTACATTTAGTGTGGGTGGTTGCTATTCAACTTCAGTTGTTCGTAATTATTTTTATCTTCTGTGTCGCTCTTTTGTTTTCACCGATCCTCGGCTTCATCATTAGGCGCCTGATCTCATTTTTGACTATGACCTGTCCTCGCCAAAGAAAATATTGTTTCGGTTTTTTTTTCCTACCATATTTTTAAGTTTGTCTCGTCTCTTTTTTTTAACACTCTGTATAGCTAACCTAATTAAACAATTTCCCCCAGGTTGTGCCATGTCTGACAGTCCAGCTGGTATGGCAGCCTACCTCTTGGAGAAGTTTCCCGTCTGCGCAAATCCCGAGTACCTCAAATTACCGGATGGTGGTCTGTGTAAGAACTTCACAATGGACGAGTTGCTGACTAACGTTATGATGTACTGGGTAAACAATAACTTCACAGCTGCTGCCAGATTCTACAAAGCCAATTTCAAAGATATTCGGTCCAGGATACACGAAAGGTAATTTCTAATTTCCCTTTTAAAAAATGCAGATATTGTTAATGTAATAAAATGCATTAGTATAATAATAAGAGATATTTTCGACACCCCATTTTTAAGTTCCTCGTGCAGAATTTCTCACCAATTTTCTTCCTGTATCATAATGTTCGCATCAGGAATCAAAATATAACGCTAATCAAAAAATTCTGCAGTAATAATGTAATAGACTGCAGTCGTGCGCATGCTTTTTCTTTTGATTTTTTAAGGATGTTACGTTGATAGATAGTTATTGTATAAAGGTGTTTTGCGTTATCAAATATATGTATTGTGCACAGATCGGAATTTTATAGTTAACGAGATTCAAATTGAAATTGATGTTCTTTCTTTCGGGTGAAAGTGGTTTACTAGAATAATAATTATTATAACATGTAATGGAAAAGGCAAGAATGACAGGTCAACTGAAACAGAATGCAAAAAAAAAAAAAAAAAAAAAAAAAAAAACAGTGGTTGATACGCATTTCATTTGAGTAGAAGCGTTTTCAGCAATTAACAACGACAGCCTTCTTCAGCTGCAGCAAAATGAAATACAAGTATGTGAAGAGAGATTAAAGAATTTTCAAGAACTCTCTAGTGGTAGAACTGGTGCTAACTGGGAACGGAAAAGGTTTGGTTTCTTTTAGTTGATTATATGCTACGGCTTTACACTCGTGCACTCAGCTCGTTCGCCTGAAATCGAACCCAGGTCGGAACTACCGGTGTTCAGCGATTTTACCACTCGCCGTTAGTGAGCCTGGATGTAAAACAATGCAATTTCTCGAAAATTCATTAGTTACTCTTCCTGTTTGTAGCACTTGTCTTTCATTTATTTGCAACTGCAGAGGTAAATAATGCTAATTTGTTGAACCTGCTTTTACTAAAGTAAAATCTATGCTAATTAACGTTGTTTTTTCTGACATTCCTTGCAGTATGGACATCGTATAATTTTTGCAATGCTGTTCAGAGACAATTCTGCATATTATGAATTCCCCCATCTGATATCTTTAGTTCTAGGCTAAAGCTGCATTATACATTTAGCTTTATGCTGAAGTTGTTTAGAGCTGTGTTCCCATCTTTAGTTCTTACTAAGGAGCGAAGTACTAATTCGAAATAATTCACTAAAATTTCATGTATTTTTACTAAAATTTGTGACGTGACCAATGTTATCATAATCCGAAAATTTACCTTCTGAGATTTATTTCTAAAACTAGAACCATATGTCTACGATTAATGTTTAAGAGCTACTTAGTAGTGCCGTCTTTTTTAAATGCCTTACATCTGTCTTGTGTTCATAAATTTTTTTTTCGTCGTCTTCTCACGTCAGAGAATAATTCACTGACAAATGCTTGACACCTAGATTACCGAGGCAATATAGGACTTTTCAACATTTGGAGATAATAGTGGTTCCAGACAAGATCTTCCGAGATATCATATCCATCCAACAGCCTCTTTCGTGGGATCTATCACAACAGGGAAAGAAGAACCCGAGTATTTATCTCGTTAGACATATTTCTTTGTGGAAATGACGGGACAACGATAGAATTTAGAACCAGCCAGCTAACGAAAGCCAACGATCAATTAACAGCAGTTAAAATTTCTATAATTCAAACTACGGTCAAAATTCAAAATACGTGATTTGTAGTACATGATATACGTAACACAAATCTCGTAGACCTCGATCACTAAACTAAGAATACCCAATCACACTTAAACTTAAGAAATACGTTGGCACATAACAAAAAAAAAAAGTTTCCATAACATTGGGAAAATAGAATTGATTTTGGGTTACCAGATAACCGTTACTAACGTCGATATTTGACACAAATTCAAAGTGCACCCTTTTCTGCATTAAAACTGAAATTAGAAGGAATACAACAATTTGAAAATAAGAAAAACTTATTAGTTGACTTATAGCAAACCTTTCAGAATAACTGCTGTTTCTTAATTTCAGAGTACCAGTGACTGTACCTTCCGGAGTTGCTTTTTTCCCCCATGAACCTCTTATGCAGCCGAAGACTATGATGTCCCAACAAATGAAGAACATAATATCGTATACTATCATGCCCAAAGGCGGCCATTTTGCTGCGATGGAGGAACCAGAACTATTAGCGGATGATCTGTGGAAATTCGTATCCCTTGCCAAAAAACAGAAATCGGGAATCTAGCTGCGTTTTCAAGAAAATTTTTCTCTAAATGCAGAAAAACAAACTTGATTTCTGCAAATTATTGGTGAAAGAATTGGAATTCTATATTTCTTTGTCATGCTGGCATGTGGCATTGAACTTTAAACAAAGTGGTTCATTTCTAACAATTCTTTGATCGTGTACAGTTTCTTAAGCCGTTTTGTGGATTTCATTGAAATGTTTGGAAATTTTCGGTGATAATCGTTGCCATTCCCTCTAATGTATATTTAAATAAAATTTCATATTTTTGAATCGAATTTTTACTTGTTATTTTATATTTCACTTTAACTATCGTTCAAATTATTCTTTAGTCTTATCCCACATATAGTGTAATAAATTTTAAAAAAAGATTAGGGTATATTGTAATTTTTATCTAGCTCTAAAATGGTAATTAAATTATTTATTCTAATTTAAAATAAATGCTAATTAACTGAGAATAGATTTTAAATACAATAATTGATGTGATCAAGATATTTTCGTTCAATAAAGCTGATGACTCATGTCATGGACTGTATCTCAATAAGCTGATATAAAGAACATGATTCCAACCACGCGATTAGTAAGTTATTCGTCGAACTCAAGAATTGCGTCTGGAATGTGTGAGGAATATATCAGATGGTATCTTTTCTTTTACTATTTTCTCCCAAGATATACCAATGAATAATTATTGCTTTCCTTTTTAGCAGCTGAAAATTTTAAACCGGGGAGATTTATCAGATTCCTTCTTTCGGTGCAACTTGCAGTTAAGAAAATCGTTTTGCCAATTTCTTTAAAGGGTTTTTATCTTACTGCAAGATATTGCGCATCGTCATTTTGCCAGTCTTGAAGCTTGTTATCCGAACAGGGAAAACCCTATCCTTTTATCCTCGTCTTAAATTGTAAGATATTTTCATTTTTAGTTTCCTGGAAGTGACGCCAACTTCAGCCCCGAATGAAAAGTACTCAGATATTCAAATTTTATTTTATCAACAATTATTACCGAAGCTTCTTGCTTATGCTTTACGACGAAAAACTTTTAGAATCATTTTTCAATCCTTATAATTTGCTCAAAAAATTATATGTGGTCATCGCTGAGTGCATAATAAACATACAAACGGTTGATGATCTGATTTCTCTATTCTTAAAGCATATCCAATATAACTGTAGCGATAACGTCCTTCCTGTGCGCTTTTACGTGTCTACACAAGGGATTTTAGGATTAGGCCCACCTTTTTAGATGTTTGATTTTAGTTTGGTAAGTAATGTTTCTCGCAAAACACAACAAGAAATAAATCCAGCGGCTTCCCAAGCATCTGAAACAATGAAAACTCTTTGAAATGTCTGCAACTCTCCTAGAGACGTTTTACACAACATGTTACTTTAATGCTCAGTTTGTTCTCACAAAAGTAAATTACTTTGCTACATTGAGATTGTTTTCCATACTGTTTTTTAACAGTGTGAATAGATTTTAATTCAGATAAATATAATTAATAGTTGATAGCTGAGATCTGATGAGGGCACTGTTGGGTCCTGTTTCCAGAAGAGGTGCAACTGGACTTTTCTTTCTAAATGATACATTGACTTCAGAACGATATATTTAAAATTTTGCACATGCTTTGGTCGAATCATCCGCGATATCCTGGTTCATGCAAGATGGTGCAAGGCTTCACCGGGCTGCTGCAGTTTTCAGTTTCTTACAGGAATATTTTGATAACGTGTAATTGCTTTAAATTACCCAAGCTTTACCGGAAAGGGAATAGAGTGCCCGCTATATTCACCAGATCTTAATCTGTGCAATTTCTTCTTTTGGGGTCACTTGAAAGATGCAGTGTACCGAAAAAATCCCGTAACTCTTGAGAAACTTGAGGGAATAATCAGTGACCGATGTGCAGCCATTTCATTAGCCATCTTACAGAAAATGTCTGCTAATTTCGTCCTCCGATTAAGATATATAATTGCAGCTGATGGTGAACGAATTTCGAAAAATTTGGATGTCATATTCAGTCATTTTAATTTGATTTACGGGTTCATTATATGAAGCGCCATCTGTCGGAAAATTTTTGAAATAAAACCAGGAATGTTGGGAGGAAACATTTATGCCCTGACAACTTGAATTTGCTGCAACAACAGTTTTTTTAACCTTAACTGTTTTCCTTTCGTAAATTTTTGAAACCCGTCAGTCTGTTTCCGGACACCGGATATATGACACCCCTGTGTACATACTGATGTGCATGAGTCTTTTTCATGTACGCTACTTCTAAAAATTTATAAATTTGGATGCCTTTTAAAAATAAAAAAATAAACAAACTGGCATCTCAGAGTGCGGTTTTCACTTAAAAAGTTATAGCATGAGCTGTGTTTTAATATGAGATATATTTTAATTTAAGTTTTTGCCTACTGTTAGTGTTGTATCTTTAATATCGCAAAAGTGTTCATGATTAAATCCTTTAAAACGAATTTCATGACGAACTATTATTAACAGCACTGTGACATGTTGCTAAACCAAGCAAAGGTGTCATATAAACTTAATTGTTTTCATTTTGTTGTAAAATGCGATACTAACAACTCGTAACTATTGGCGAAAATCCTGAAGCTCAGAGTGACCTTTGCCATTTTATTAATTTCAGTTCAAGAATATGTAACCTATTCTTAATGTTAAACTATAACTTTTAAAGTAAAAGTACTGTAAATCCAGTACGTTTAAGAACATACTACAGCTATCTCCTAAAAATTATAAAAGAAACTCCTACAAATAAAAAACAAAACCATTAATGATTATGGCATTTTCAGATTGACTGGTAATATGTTAGTCACACCTGAACTACCATTTTACCTATTGTACTGGTGTCAAATTTACTGAAGCGAATAATTTATAATTCTGATAAGAAACTTAAATTGTTTCATTAAGCAGTTTTTAAACAGCAGCTGTTCTTTATAAAGAACAGTAAATGAATTAAAGACGTTTTCGAAAGAAAATTTCGAATTTTGTAAGGAATGGGAAATCTGTTTAAAAAAAAAATCGAGAAATTGTAATCCGATTCGTCATATTTCAGTTAGCAGGTCATTTTCATTCTTTATGTCTTAAGCTTAATACTTTTTACATTTTACCTTACGATAGTCACTTATTGTAATGATACGACTGTACTTTTCTCCTTCTGAAGGCAGGACACTTGCTGGTTGAGCATTTATCAGGAATAGTGGCTGAAACAATAATTCCTTATCACCGTAATTTGGTATTCAGCCATTTCATCACCGACAGCGTTGGCCAGGATGTACAATAAGAAGCGATCAATGAATAACAAACCCGCAAGAAGGAAGACAACCCACGTACAGCGAAGCCGTGTGCGGGAGTCGAACTGTATCACCATTAGAAATCCAGAAAGCTTGACTCAAACCCTGTTTAGAGACTTGGTTTTGAATTCAGTCAGCATTCGATAACATGAATGCGGCACAGGATCCACGTAGTGTAGAACTGATAAGCTGTCTGCCTGTACAAGTTGGACACCAACAGCTCAAAAACTGGCTTCGACACTGCTGGTGCCAAACCTATGCAGGTACCTTTGAAAACAACCCATTTAACCAATTTTTTTTACTTCTTGATAATACAGCATTCTTAGTTATAATCTTCATCCACGTTATGCAATGTCAGTATCATACCACAGTCGATCACTGGCCGTGGCGATTCTATATCGGTATCTATTTCGTACTTGTGGCACATAACATCAGATTCTAATGTGGAAATTGATATTAAAGCAGAAGCTAATACCATACTCAAATACCTAATGAATTTATATAGGATGGCAGGATGATAAGTCAAAAATTAATGGCGGATGGGCGGATAGGTCGAAATTTATCTGTAAAATCGGGAGTGCCCATGTTATTTTAATTTTAGAACTTGAAGAAAAAATCTGAAAGGACACCTGAGTGCCCTGTTGATGGTTTTGAAACAAGCAATTTTTAAGGTAATACATCGGAAGGTCAACTTAATTATCATATTTTCGGGCAGTCAGGCAGCTATTCGGGCAATTGCAGATTATAGAAATAAATCTCCATGTGTATAAGAGATTCACGGTATGGAAACGGCCGATACTAAAATAGTAATGAATGGGTAAAAAATCCATTCTGGTTAAGTGCATGATGAGATAGAAGATACGATTGCCAAACAAGCGGCACAGGATTGAGTTACTTTCTACAACAGAATTACAAGAGCAAATAAAATGCCTAAGTCCTCCTCGTATGACCACATCTCATATAATTTTGCTTTTCAGTTCCTGCATTATAAACAAAATTAATATTTTTTAGCCCAAAAAAGCGTTAGCTCAGAAGAGCTATTAGTCTCGAAACGGGATTCTGCGTTAAACCACTGTAAGAGGATAAAACACTTTGCAAAATATTGCTACCAAATATTATAGCCCTGTATTATTTTTAAAGAAATTAAATGAAGGAGAATACAACATGAATGTTTCTCGCATTGTAAAAAACGACGTAATTATACGCATCAAATTTTGAATAACGTAATGCTTCACCCGAACATGTGCATCTGAAAGTTCGAATTTGTTTTATTATGTATTTCACATTCTGTAAAACTTTAACGAATTTTTTATTAACAAACTAAACGATTTCAAAGCGAACAATGGCAACACTGTACGGAAAATATATATATATAAATATATGTGGTGGCAAAAAAAATATTCTTCGACTCCCTCTACTTCTACTTCTAACCCAGCAAGGCGTGACGTCATCACAGCTTAGCGCAGCTTGCAGAGCGGCAGACACCGCTGGAAGTGCTGGAAGCAAGACGTGTTTCTTTCGATTCTCAAATTCCCTGATGTCAAACTGAAATGCTTACATCGAGCTAGCCATATGAGGGCAGACATGCCTTTTGAATGTATTTATTGAGGACTAATAATGTGTGAAAAATGATCATCATTAATCGGATCTTGTTTGGACTGAGTTTAATTATTGTGAGGTTACCTACCAGCTGAACTATTAAATTTTACTTAATTTATCTTTTTATTCATTTTATTTCATATTAGTAAAATAAAGTACTGTAATGTAAAGTTATGCTTAAGTCGTGCTCTACTATGTTCTTATTGAAGGTAATCTTACATATATATATCCAGCACGCGAGAATGTCTATCGGAAATTCTAAAGATACGCTGTTTTTAAATATTTTGTGATATCGCTATTGTTTTGAGATGTATGTGGTTTAAGTGCGAAAAACATTATATATAATAAATAAAGGTAACACACCAAACGTTAAAAAAACACTCCCTTT